CCAGGACCTCCTGGAGCGTGCCCCCCCCTCCCAGCCGTCCAGCGCTTGACACATCTCGGGGCGGTCAATCAAATCTCAAGGCGGAGGGTTTTCGCTGCGCGCTGCCTCTGCGGGCTCCCTCTCTCTCTCTCGCTAGGCCCCAGGGGCTGTCCAACAACGGCTCAGGATGGACAGCTGGCCCTAGGGAGAGCCATCGAGAATAGACTCGCCGCTAGCTTTTATAGCACCATGCAGACGTCGCCAACCTCAGGTCCCCGCCTTTGTATGCGGGATTGATGCATCTGCTGAGCAGACCCCCTGCCCCTGATGCGTTGCGCCTCTTTACCGAGGCCCGCTCCCAACGGAGTAGGGGTTCCATGTTTGCTGATCAGAAAGGAGACAGGGCTACTGCAGGGCCCGTGCTGAAGCAATCAAAGCGTCTGATCTCTGTGGGGGGGAGAAGGAGGAGGAGGAGGAGGAGGAGGAGGAGGAGGAGGAGGAGGAGGAGGAGGTGGAGGAGGAGGAGGAGGAGGAGGAGGAGGAGGAGGAGCAGCAGCAGCAGCAGCAGCAAGAGCAGGAGCAGGAGCAAGAGCAGGAACAGGAGAAGGAGAGGGGATAGGAGCGCCCTGGTCGAGGTCCAGGGGAGGAGGCGGAGGAGGGGGGCCGGGATGAGGGAGGACGTCCCTCGATCCCCCCTGGGGCGACAACGACAGCGGCGGCTGCGGCACGGCCGACGGCTACCGCGCCCGACGACGACGGCGCCGACGACGACCCCCCGCCACGCCCTGACGACGGCGGCGAAGATGGCGGCGGCGGCGGGCGATGACGGCGGCGGCGGTGGACGGCGGCGTCGGCGACGACACGGCGGCCGATGCCGCTGCCGTCGCCGCGCTCCCCCCGCCCCCCGCAGCGCCAGCGGGAGCTCCTCCGACGAGGGGCCGCACCCCGCGCGCCGCGGGGCCCCCCGGGGGCGCCCAGGCGCGTGAGGCAGGCGGCAGGGAGGGGGCACGGCGACGACGGCGACGACGACGACGATACGCCGCCGACGGCGCGAACCCCATGCGGAATACCGGGTCGACAGCTCCAGAATCTCACGTGCTGGTCGAAGTATGACGTCGGGGTGTGAATGGTTTTTCGGGAGGAGGAGGGGGGGGAGAATATGCGCGCCTCCCCAACACACTGAAGCGCAATATTTGCCGAGACGCGCGTGGCCAGACCCACTAAGCGCTTGCCGTGCATAGGGGAGGATGATGAGGAAATGGAGTTTAAGGAGGAGGAGGAGGAGGCCATGAGGCGGCATGCTTACGAAAGAAAGAAGAAGGGAAAACGATGCCTCTTGCGGCCCTCCTGGGGCCTCCAGACGGCATCGTGTGGGCTTCATGGGGGCCTCTGAGGGGCCTCTTGGGCGCCTCGTCGGGGCCACTGCGGGTCTCTTGAGGGCCTTTTAGTCCGTGATCGGGTTCTCATAGCCCGTCTGACGCCTTCAGAGGCCGTCTTAGGGGGTCTGTCTGCGTCATATTGGGGCCCTCTGGCGGCGCAGTAGGGCCGTTTTGAAGGTCTCTTGAGCCGTCTTGTGACCCTCTTGGGGCTGTCTTGGGGGCCTCTTGGGCATTATTGGGGGCCTCTTGGTCCGTCTTGAGGCCCTCTTGGGGGCCTCTTGGGCTCAGTGATCTTTGGGTTCTCTTGAGCTGTCGGATGCCAGAACAACAACAATCATGCACGCAATTGAATAGCATTTGTAAGCTGTATAAGGTTGCTTCCTAGGGCCTTCTGGAGGTCCTCTTGTAGCCTTCTTGGGCTGTCTTCGGAGCATCATGGGCCGTCTTGAGGCGATCTTGGGGGCCTCTTGGTCCGTCTTGAGGCCCTCTTGGGGGCCTCTTGGGCTCAGTGATCTTTGGGTTCTCTTGAGCTGTCGGATGCCAGAACAACAACAATCATGCACGCAATTGAATAGCATTTGTAAGCTGTATAAGGTTGCTTCCTAGGGCCTTCTGGAGGTCCTCTTGTAGCCTTCTTGGGCTGTCTTCGGAGCATCATGGGCCGTCTTGAGGCGATCTTCGGCAGTCATTTGGGGCCTCCTGGGGCTGTCTTCAGCCATCTTAGAGCCATATGGGACCTGCTTGGAGCCATCTTGGCCGCCTTGGAGGTGTCTTGCGACGGTTTTGTGGAGGCCATCTTGGAGCCATCTTGGGCGGGAAAGCCAGACTTTACCTCTTGCGCGGCCTTCGGGGTGGCAGCCTGGATGAGCCAGGACCCCATGGTGAACGGTCTGAGCGAGCCAAGAGAGCTCGAACACGCGGCATGCCAATCACGCCCTTGCAAGCAGAGGGAGTCGGCAAAGTTGGTGGCCGTGGGCTCACCCACCCCGCCACAATACCTGGGTCGTGGACCATCGGGATACGGTGGGGGCGTTGGTTAAGGAATGCGCCCAGGAGGCTGCAGACTCTGGAGGATTCCTTATCCGATGAGGGCGGCGGTGATATCCATGGCCAAGCCTCGATGGGAGTTCCACCTGCCTCCAGACCTTGTATTCCTTATCTCATGGTTCCTTATTCAATGCCCCCCACCGTATGAGAGGCATCTCTGGTCTTTGGAAAGCCGCTTTCGGGGCTTGTGGAAGCCTCTTGGTAACCTCTTGGGGCCTTCTGGACGTCTGTTGGGACCTCTTTGTGGCCTGCGGGGGCTTCTGGGGGACCTCTTTGTGCCATGCTGGAGGTCATCGGGGCCATCTTGTCGGAAAAGGCTCCGAAGGCCTCTTCGACTTCATCCTCTTGGTTTTCTCTTGGGGCCATCTTGGCGGCCTCTTGGGCAATCTTCGGGCACTCTTGGGCCGTTTCGTGGCTCTCTTAGGGGATAACTTGGGTTTTCTCGAGGCCATCTTGGGGGCGTCTTAGGCCCGAAACGGCGAGAGCCTTGAAATCTGCCCAAACCTTAGAAGCGTGTTGTTTTGGGCCCCCCTTGAGGTCTTCTTGGAGAGGCCTCTTAGAGCGACTTGGGCGCCTCCACAGCCGCGTCCTGATGCCATCTTGGGCCGTCTTGTAGCGCTCCTGAGTTACTCGGGACCTTTAGGACCATCTTGGGGTCCTCTTGGGACTCTTTTGGGCCGTCTCGGTGCTCCCTGGCCTCCGTCAGCGTCGTGCGAGAAGCCCCAGACGTCACGCTGGAGGGCCCACGAGATCCGGCTCTGGGCACTCAACCGAGCATTCAACATACAGTCAAGGCGCTGAAATAAAGAACAGCTTGGGTACGAAAGGGGCTCGATGCCCCTCAGATCATCATGTGGTTGTTCCTCTGGCTCTCCTCGTGCACGCAGGCGCTCTCGGGTCCAAAAAGGGGCCGTCGAGTCCAGGAAGGGGCTTTCTTCCTTCTTTACCGTTCCTGGCCTCAGCGGCCCGACTGTATTCAATACAGAGGTTGCAGAGGACTGTCAGAGACCCCAGGACAGTCCACCCAGTGCCGATGGCACGGTGGTGCAATAACTTGCGGCAAGCCCCCGGACAGGACATCGAAGTGTTGAGCTTCTTCGTCTCACAGCCTCTGGGCCCATGGGGGCGGCAGGGGTCGAGGGGGAATTGCAGCATCTCCGCGTGGGGGAGGGATGCGCACAACAGGAGGACGAGGAGGAGAGCGGGAGACGGGGAATGATGATGAGGATGAGACAGAGAGGGGAGGAGCGGGCGGAGAGGCGCTTCTGGGCACGACGGAACAGCAGGAGTAGGAGTATGGTGGATGTGTTTCCATGTGAGAGGGGTGCAGCATCCCACGGTCGAGCGGTCGGGCAAACCAGGAATGGTGACGAGGAGGGGGAGGAGGAAGCTGGAACTGGAGCCTGATGTTGACGAAGTGGACGGCTGAGCTAGGATAGGGACGAAAGTGAGGGACGATGATTAGGATGATGATGATGAGGATAGTGATGGTGGTTGTGATGATGATGATGATGATGAGCACTATGATGATGTTGCTGATGATGATAATGTTGATGATGATGAGGATGGTGGTGGCGTTGGTGATAATGATACTGGTGGGTGATGGTGTCGTTGATGATGTTGGTGATGATGCTGATGATGACGATTATGATGACGACGAAGGCAACGACGAAAGAGAGGAGGATGATAATCATGGTGGTGGCGGCGATGCTGATTAGGAGGATGATGATGAGGATGGTGATGGTGGTGGCGATGCTGATGCTGCTGAAGATGATGTCTGGATGCTACGGATGAGGCTGACGGCGATGATGATGAGGAGGATCATGAGGAGGATGAGGGTGGGTATGAAGATGATGAAGATGATGATGCTGATGATGAAGATGATGATGCTGATGATGGTAATGGCGATGGCGATGCTGATGATGTTGATGATGATGCTGACGATGCTGATGATGATGTTGTTGATGCTGTTGTTGCTGCTGATGTCGATGATACTGGCGGGTCTACGTATGACGATGATAATGTTGCTGACGCTGGTGATCATGATGCTGGTGAGTATGATGATGCTGATGATTGATGGTGACTATGCTGCTGATGCTGACGATTATGATGATGGTGACGAGGGTGATGATGCCGATGCTGTTGCTGATGATGATGCTGATGACGATGCTGTTGTTGGTGATGATCATGACGGGAGGTCTGATGATGATGATGACGTTGTTTGTGATGGCGCTGATGATGTTGCTGGTGGTGATGATGATGACGATAGGGATGATGATGATGATGATGGTGATGCTGATGATTATGATGATGATGATGGTGGTTATGATCAGGATGGTGATGCCGATGATGCTGTTGTTGATGAGGACGATTGTGTTGTTGATGATGATGGGGATGCTGCTGATGATGCTGACGATGATGATGATGCTGCTGATGCTGCTGACGATCATGATAATGATTATGCTGATGATGATGCTGATGATGATGATGTTGATGCTGGTGATGCTGATGATACTGGTGTTGATGGTGATTCTGGTGCATCTGATGATGGTGTTGATGATGTTGTTGACCATGATGACCATATTGATGATGCTG